ACTGAGCGACACTCGTGTATCTACAAAACGAGAAAACAAATTGTGCAACACTTAGTCAGGAACGACTCAATGGATAAGCACTGATGCACGTGCATTTGACATTGTTGTATTAATTTACCAGTAACACTTTCGCTCACAGAGAAATAAAAAATTGAATCGATGTTGTAAATAATGTGCAACCAATTGCTTTGTAAATATCCTAATGACGTTCGCATGCAGAATAACATGTTTTGAAAGATTATATTGGTGCTCGCATAAGTGACACTACCCTCTACAACTTGAAAAATAAATTTCTGAACCATCATCTGACAATAACATGTATGCACATTAACGCTATGTAGTTTTTTGTCTAATGGACGTTAAATCCTATAATTATTATCTGGGATAAGATAATAGTCCGTTAAAATGTAAAATAGTTAAATTATTTAAACACTTATAGAATATAAATGATTGTAAAGTCAAATTAGACCAAACAATAGTTTCTTTGCGTAATCGTAAGGAACTCATTTACAAGGCGTGACGATAAAGGGTCTCTGGTCATTCTTTGAGGGTCAGCACAGTTTGAGCCTACATTGTTCGTTTTTAGATATATATTCTTAGGTATCACCTATTTTCAGTGGAAAGTCGATTTCGTAGTTTTGTAACTAACAGTCCTGCTAAAATTCGCTCTGACGTAACCGATGTTACGGGAATGACTTATCCACATTTAGTGGAAAGTTTGTCAAAGGAAAGCCTATCTCGTGTGTAGACCATCACTTTAAAGCGATTAACAGAACGAGTTTTTGTCTTCTGATCGATTAAGGCTATAAATATTTTGGGATGCAACAAGATTATTGCCATCTCAAGTACCACAAATAATATATTAGGATTGTAAATTAAGAGTATGCTGTCGCTCATCGTAATATTCTATAAATTCAAGATGTTTTAGCCAAGTACAGATGCCGTTGGAAAAACATGAATGGCGAATGCATTCTTTTTGATACCATCGTTAAATTTCTCTCTCAGTCAGACGTTCACATTTACTTCTGAAAACATATTGGTAAGTATAGTATTGAAGGCAGTCTAAAAGGTAGCCCTGAACGTAGTTTCAAACGGAGCTTTTCAAACGTACATTACGTTGTCCACGGATTCACCTCAACCAAACATAACATAGTTAAACAAAAGCATCTTCGTTAGGTGCATTTCAAAGGCCGTCTGTTTCTTTTACTAAATACAGATATCATGTCTCAAATACTCGTATTCACCAAACTGTTCTTCTATCAACGAAAGTCTTCAGTAGTACGTAATGCACGAACAAGACACTGTCCGGACAACAGAAAGAGCATATGCACAATGATGAGGTGGCTGCGTCCATGTTTGTACTGTTGACCTACCCCAACAACTTAAGTAAACTGCAGGGTCTAACCAAACTATGGTACGGAGATTAAATTATCTTCACTAAAGCAAACAACACTGGTTCGTAGCTAGATAAGGTTATAACAGTGCCAAGCCAGCGTACACAGAAATATTCTAATTGATTATATTTTTGAAACATCTCTTTTTTTTTGGTTGAGGATTACAACAAGAAAGTATAATATTAGATACACAAACTAACAACCGTGTGTGGTTCAGTAATTAAATCAATGGAATGAAAGCAACCGCAGTCAACGACATGGCAAAGATCGTCTTGAGCAAAATACTCTGGTTTATTCCTCACGTCATACCTCCATTATGAACAAGTTAACAATGTGTAAGACCTTCTAAAGCAAGACGTAACTCAACTGTGGTTTCTACATCAGGAAATGTAATTCATAACCGTTTCATAAAGCACACAGTTGACATGGCAAAAAATCCACCGAAAGTGGTCGGGGGGAAACCAGATAAGTCACGTTTACCTCTCGAACACGGGAAATTAACGCAGTTCTCAAGAAATTAAAGGTAATAACGCTGTACAAAGAGGTATCAAATTCCGTAAGAAGTTCTTCAAATGGATCATCTCATCAGCAAATACAGTTTGAATTAGACGAACAAACGATAACTGTTATGTTCTTATATAATGAAAATGGACAGAAATGATGTAGCACTCACTTTCTACAACAAATTGATTTTTTAAAAAAATTCAAAGAGAAGCGGGAAATCACGTCAGGAAAAACTACGACGGTTCGAAGAAAAAGGAGCGGACGTATGTGGGTATAGACTATGTAACAAATAAACTTACAAATAAATGGACAACAAATTGTTTAAATCCATCGCTACAAAACCCTTTTCTAAGAGGTACATACGATTGAAGTAGTTTTATTCTCGGTCCCAACATAGTTTTCAAGAACATTCCTTTCTTAAGTATGAATTTGAGTAGTAAACGATTGGGAAGGTTTGAGTTGCACGATAGTACGGAGAAACAATATTTTAATCTTTCGAATACAAATTAGACTTGAGAATTCAAAAATACATTCGAGTATTGAAACCCTACAACAGACCGGGCAAGCTTGGTTTAACTACTTTCAGGTCCTGTCCTGCCCCAATATCAGTGTCAGTCGGAATTGAATTAGATACCGACATATGCATATTCCTTTTGATTACAATCAGTTCATTGGTTATAGTATAATCGTTCTTCTCAAAGAGTACAGGTAATAAAGAAAAGAAAAATTAAGACAACGTATGCTCAGCCAGAATCTACGGATTCAAGATCAATGACTAAGAGAGCGAAAGCTTTGATGACGAAGACATCCACGAAGCAAAATTTGATAATTGTGCAATGCTTGAATTTGTTCTTTGATTAGAAACAATAACTGCGACAACCAAAGGCTTCTTTGTTTGTTAACCTACTTATTCCGACATTTATTCTTAAAAATGTATAGAAGTATTTCAGCTTTGACTTCCTTATCATCTGTATACTTTCGCTTATGTCACTTCCTTCCAACTGTTTGTCTTAGTTTATGTTCTTGTTCTTCCCTATCTTCCCTTTGAGTTGTATTGCAATCAGATATATGTGAATAACTCCAGTAGGAAGATGTGTCCACTTCGTTTGCTCATGACTGTTCCTTCGCCGTGTTTATCAAAATAAAGTATAAATTATTATACATTCGACGGATTAAGAACATAGGTGCCATAATCATTCTGCGAAAGGAATCAATTTAAGCAGTTCCAAAATATAAGTATCGACAGGAGGCAGAATAATAGGCGTTCATACATTGATAACAAGAGATGTTAAATTTGTAATCAATGATAGTACTGGAACAGATAATGAAAAACGATCTTACTATGATATTCAAAGCTGTCAGTAAAAACGAATCTTTCGGATTTTGTTCTATTCGAAGTTAGTTTGTCTGGTTCTGATTCACTTACATTACTAAGAAATAAGAAGACGAGTATTTAGATGTGAGTATGGACTATCAGTGTTCGTAATGCTGAATCTATTAATTTGAAATTTGAAAATATTCAATTGTTAATACTTGTACTTGAAGCAGTTTGCGAGATTTCAATTTATATTGAAAACTTCAGGATATCATCTTTTGGACGGACAAATTTCCAAATATTACTTCTGTTTTCCAGTAAAATATTTGTACAAGAATTATTCCATGATCTTTGAAAATTTAAAAAAATCATTTGAGAGTTAGTGTAACTTTTCCCACCTTAAAATTAATCTGAAGGGTTTTAAAACCTCATTGCAATCAAATGCAAATTAAAATTGTGATCTGAAAGTCTGTATGAAATGAACTGATGTAGTGAATTTGATATGTGTAGTCTTTATGTGTACAATATATACAAAAATAAAACATTGGTTCAGAGAGTATTCACGTTTATACTGCCCATATTGCTAGCCTTCCTTAAAAGACAGAGGGTATTAAACTCAAATAGTCAATTAAAAGTATGTTTCTATAGATTCTTCAAAAAAAGTAAGATAACTGGTCATATTTATATTTATTTTTAATTGGCTCTGGTCTACTGAGTACTGTGGGAATATTTGCTGTTGTACTTTCTATATAAATTACAAAAAAGGAAAAGAAGAAAAAACTATTGGTTACATTTTATTTTTTTAATTTGAAAAAAGGGTCAGTACAATACATTGTGCAAAGAATCCCGTTGAGCACAACAGTTGTATATAAATTTAAAAAAAAAGTGAAAGTATAATCGCCAATTATTCCTGTAATGCAAATAATCAATTAACTTTATTTTATCTTTATATTTTACTTAGTGATAGGAATTTCAATTGTCATTAAGTCAATTATGAATATAAAAACAGACAACCTATTAAACAGAGTTTGATAAACAATCTAATATTTACTGGACATGCGGGAGCAATGATGCTTGTTGCTTGTTTTTCAAGTTGACCCATGCTATTTTTGTCTACACACTGAAAACACTTATTGCCAATGAGATGTAAGCAATTATAGACAACTGTACGGCCTTCTCCAATGCCAAAACTCATACTGTATAGTCAGCTATAAAAAGTCCTGCCATGAAAAATATGAAACATTCAATCGAGAAAAATAACGGCCTAATTTATAACAAAACACTTTACGAAAATCAAATATGACAGACGTGAACCAACGACAACCACTGAACTAGAGGCTTCTGACTTGGGACAGGCACATAAAGAATGTGGCGGAGTTAAACATGTTTGTGATTGCTCAACCCTCATCCAACCTGAGACGGTGGTTTAACAGCACAACATAAGAACAAACTATAAAAATTAGTTGAAAAAGGCTTAAGTCATCAGATCGATACAGAGAAAAAAGTCAAACAATAACACAGACAGGACATAGCAGAGTATATATCCATTTCTTAGATGGATATATACCCTGCCACATTAGACAATTAGAAATGCCTATTTAAACCTGTAATTTAGCATCATAATTTATCATATTAATTATGTATTGTAATATTCCATATCTTGTTGTTAAACTACAATATCAACTTCTATTTAGGCCTACACAATTGAAAGCAAGAGATCTGCAATAAATCTTGCTTACTGCTCACAATTATAAAAACAAAAAAACAAAAGTTCACTCGTTTTTCAGAAAATTGGACAACAATAAGATAACCTCAATACATCCAGAAGCATTTCGAGACCTACCATCGTTACAGTATCTGTATGTATACTTATTTACAATATTGTATCTAGGTAATGAGAAACAAGTATTCTAGAAAACTTCATATTCAGAGTACGTTATATGTTATCAATAGCAAAGATAATCTTTATTATAGTTTTTTTTTATTTAAATTGTGCATTAATCTTTTAGATGGAACTTACAATCAAATTAAAAAATGGAAAGAATAAAAAAAAAAAAAATACCAAAACGGTTGTCTTCGGAAAGTTTTATTCATGCGGGATGGCTAAGCTATTAAACCAGGTTGAAACCATCAATTCTTCGGAAATATGACATTTTCTTTCCATGCTTCGATATAGCCGAGCGCTTGATTTTATCAGGTATTATTGCCTCACCCTTTTTTAAATGTATCTTGAAGTTGCATGTTAGTTAATACCTTTTTGCGAGATGATTTTCCATCTCAAGCGACCCGATCCGACTCATAATGGTTTTTCTCGGTCGAAAAGAGTGCAAAAATGATGACGTCATAATTCAACGATATTGACATTGCCTAGCGATAAACAGATTATCTATGGTCTTTCATCTGGAAATTTTTTCTCGGCTACGTCCTATCTGCAAACTTACACCTTTCGATGACATTTTAGTCGGAAAACTCCCTCCTATTTTCAAAACTATATATAATATTTAAGTAATTCATCCAACAATAAAACGCTTACTGTCCACAATTCCTTTGACTACCATGAATATTTAAATACGCAAGAACGTAAGGCTTCATTTAAAACAGTAATCAGTTAAACCAAGCGGGAAGCATATCGTGACAAACTTTATTGTCATGTTACGGATGGGTGAGTTAAGTCGCAGTATGATACACAACATTCATAAAATTATATTAATATAACATGACAACGGTCTAAAAACTTATAGTTTATGTTTCATTTTAAGCCCTGCTGTTGGTACACGGTTTTTAATAACTGTGTTATCTTAAAAGTTGTAAGCTCGACGTTAATGAAAATAACACTAATAGATTTTTAGTGTCTCAATAGCTTTTTTTGAGTTGACCTTCATCATGAAATCTCAAACTTAAATATTTGAAGCCAGGCATGTATAGATACGTAAAAATGTTTTGAGCCGATATGACTAAAAGAGAGCCACCTGGCAGAAGTTTATGTTTACTTTGCATATGTTAACTTTGCCTAACAAATTAGATATATATTGGCCACGAAATGTACAAATGTCAAGCAAACAAGAATACTTTAGGCCTGATTAATATACAAAATAATGAACGAAAAACAAAACTAGTTTGAAGGCGCCAACCCTCCCCTAACCGGGGACAGTGGTGTAATAGTACAACATAAGAACAAACTATCAAAATCAGTTAACAAGGGCTTATTTCATCAGATGGATACAAAGCAGAAATACATTTAACAAAACCGTAGGACGAGGAAGGGTACTTATACATCACCACAACAAAAAGTCACTAAGTACAGATCAGAGAGTACTCGCAGTTACTGACAGCTATTTCAAAGCTAATAACAACTAATAAAACATCATGCATCTAAGACTAAAATATCAATATGTACACATCCAACATCATATGGACGAAATCCCTCACTTAATAATTTACCAGTAATACATAGATTACGTTCATTGAAATCCAAAACGTCACAACAGACACGAGCATAGTGAACGATTTGCAATATATAAACACCGTAAGATGGTGCAAAAGGAACATCACTGTCCAAAAAAAGGGAAAATTAACAATAAGGAACGAAAACTCGTCCCTTATGTCGTAAGTTATAGTGTAGAGTTTTCCGTGTAAAACTGTGATATCTAAAACTAGGAAAGGGCAGTTACTACTGTTTCTATTTGATTTATTTAAAGTAAGTTCCTTTGGCTAAATTTTGGTAGTATATTTAGAAAATTCTTTATTATTCTTTTAACGAAAAAATATTATCAAAATAATGGTAATTTGTGGAATTTATCAATTTAAAGCAATTTAAACAATTCTTTTTTGAGTTTGGTCATACACTGTGAGTCATAACAGTACAAGAACAAGTCTGTTATTAAAGGGGCGCCATTCATGCAGATTGCATTCAGATTTACCAAACGGCCATTTAATTAAAGAAAACGTTTGTTTAATAATATTTTGTGGAAGTGTAGTGTAAAGGGTTTAAAAGTCAATACTCTCCACAGAATCAAAAGGACCATCAAAAGCAAGTAATTAATTCAAATCATCCAAAGAATTTTTGTACACTATGAAAATAATTAATTCCACTATTTTCATATGTTTTATTACAAACGTTAATGATAAGTTCTTTGATAGTAGTTAAGGAACTAGTCAAAAGTACTGAAAGATTAGTTGTAGAACTTTTACTAGAGGCCGAGATGAAATGATATTTTACTGGGTTTTTTTGTGTAGTTTATGTAACCAATACATAGCAGGGACCTTAAAATTTTCAAAAGAGGTCTTAAGCTGTGAAGTGGTTATGATATGATTGTTTACTAAACGACTTTCTGTAGAGCGCACGGACTTGAATGTAGAAGAATTTTAAATTTCATTCTTAAGAACGTCCGTCTAGTATTTACGACATACTATCACCACATTGTTGGCTGCTTTGTCGGCCGGTAGAAACACAATCTGCTTTGCGAGTACTTGAAGTTTATTTCTTATTCTAGAAATATGCGTATTATGTACTCAGTTATCTATTCGAAATTATTTTCAAAATATGATATTCGAATATCCACAACATTCATAAAATTAAGAATGGAAACGGGGAATGTGTCAAAGAGACAACAACCCGACCAAAGAGCAGAAAACCGTTTACACAAATTTTTATAATTCGATGAAAGAGCGTCTATTGTGACCTGACGACACTGTTTCCAATCTATTTTAAATGGAGGACAATATTTTTGTCCTTTTTAAAAAAGTTTTTAAACTCTCGGTCTTGAACGATATTGAGGACCCCCGTAATAACATGGCCATTGGAATCATATAAAAAATTCGACGATTCACAGTCTCATGTTAGTGGAGTATTATTTTCTACACTAAAGTCTGATGTTACTGACATATAATTTGAAATTAAACTCTTTTTTTTTTGTATATATACGAAATAATAGGTGTTTCTATGTTGTCAAAATAGGTAGGTATAAATTTTCGAATGGTAAAGTCATTAAATATACCCGATAAGTTGATGAAATCAATACCTCTGTAAATATATTTAATTTTCATAAAATGCCATATATGATCCTAAGGTTTATCGACACGCGGGAACAGCCTATGATGGCAAAAAGCTGTTAATTATACGCTAATATTCATAGGTTGTTTGTTTACTTATCTGCTAACAATTTAAATTTCAACAGTTATGTGTTACTAGAAGAGAGTGTAAATGCGTAAATAGAAAGAAAAATGGAAATTAAAATCCAGGTAAAACATGAAAAAGATATTAAAAAAATCCCACACCATTTATGAAAACTGTTGTCGTCATTACGGACCATCATGTCCAACATTTGGGCACCATATAATTAATAGTATGTAAGCAAAACAAAACAGGAGCAAGGTTTGAAAAACACCTAATCCAAATGTTGGTCAATATCGCATAAGGATGTACTTAGATGAAATTAAAAAAACCAAGAATTTAAAATTGATACTTTAAGTTGAAAGAGCATTAGTCAAAGAACAAAATAAGCTAAAAATATTGATAGATTATACAGCTCCTTTTCGATATATTTTATTTTTTTTTAAATGGCGGGAAAAGGCTAACTTTTACCTTATATTTACATTGGTATTATTTCGGTCTCAAATCGAAAGAAAAGAAATCTAGAATCTGCTTAAATTTTGGTAAATGACACTTTATGAGCTAATGAAGTCTTATATGAAAAGAAAAATGTGTGTTATGGGGCAAAATATTTTACCCTGTATTGAAGGAAAATAACCAAGGAGTCCGACCTTTGACATACATTCCTTTACCTCACCTAAGTACATCCTTAAGTCAAGTACATATTCATCAACAGTTAAACAGATTTCAATGTCATTTATTTCAGATATGTGCGCAACTGTCAAATAACAACAATACAACAAGGAACGTTTCAAGACCTACGATCGATCTATGTTTTGTATGCATATATGGTGAATTACTTTATCCATAAAGAAATTTAAAAACATTTTGGGGTCCCAATTAACAGCAGTTACTCTAAAAAAACTTTTCACATTTAAAATACAAGATATTTATGTAAAATGTTTGTTTTATTGTTAAAATGTCAAAAAAGGTAGAAAATAAGCTTTCGGGAGTATAATTTTTCACTGGTGAGGATTACATTTTAAAGCTTTATTTGTTTCAAAAAAGGTGCTAATTGCAAAAATGTGCACAATATAAAAAGATTAACAAATCACAGCTTAATTTACCAGCTTCAGCCGACATGACATAAGAAAACAATTTTTTTTACAGTTCTATGAAAAATTATATTAATTTTTGCTTTAGGCTTTTACACGACAATAAAATTACTACAATACAAGAAGGATCATTCCTGAACCTAACAAGGATCCATACTATGTATGTATATGTTTTTAACTAGAGTAGAGCATATTGATAATTATCAATGAATATTCTTTGTTGCATTATCACCTATTACTAATCTTTTTAAGTTTCAGTCAATGTATTGACATGAAGAGTTTTGTAATTCCGTAATTGGTAGAATTTACTTGATATTTGGTTTGTTTTCCCGTTATCTGATGAAAATATAGCTTACAAAGAATTTAGACCACCACACAAACAGTTCTTAATGGGAGATTTCTGAATAGCTCCCTCTTTTTTTTTAGTCCTAAATTAGTAAAATCCATGGTGAACGGGAGGCAACTCTTAATATTCATCTCAGTATAGACAAAGGAAAAATCTCGTTTTTAAAGAAGAAAAAATGTCGTAGGGGAATCAACAAAAGGGAAAATAAACAAATAAAAATACCATGTTTTCACACCATTTTTAGACAAATGTTTGAGCAATTAATCGTGTGTGTAAAAGATTCAAGATTTTTGTTAATGAATAATGTTTCTGCTAAATGCATGCAAACTTAAAAGAGTAATTTTAGAGGCGAAGCTGTGACCTCAATGATATGTATAAATACATTTTCATTGATTTTAGATAATATTTTTTTCCATTTTATAATTAGTCCTTGTCGAAACTGTATTCCCGTACCAAAAGAAATTGATAAACCTACTTGTGCTAAAAAGCATGACAAGCTAAAAAAATTCTGTCACTGGTAACCAAAAAAATTATAAAATGTAAATATTCCCTTTTTGGTGCCAAGCTTTGAATGAAGAGGCACGATTTGCTATGTTATTCAGATGTTTAATTAGATAAAGTCTATGATTGATTGGTTCCTTCGATATATATTTTTAAAACCATTGGAAAAGAAATGATTATGACATTATGTCTGCATCAATGTTCATTAATTTCTTTCATAAGAGAGTAATCCGTAAACACATTTTCCACATTTAGCTTCAATGTTCCGTAATTAACATGAAATACCACTATCATCTTCTCATATTCTTCCTAGTTATAGTTGTAATGATTAATCGAAACAATGATTTTTATAACAAAAGCGTAGAACAGGCACACAGGCTTCAACGTTTTAAAACTTCTATTGATGACACTGAATTCCTTTCGCACATAAAAGAACTTTTGAAATCAAAGTTTTATTTGTAGTTGATATCACGTTATTAAGTAGCGTCGTAATAAAAAAAAAACAACAGCAAATGATACCATCATTTCCATCCCCCAGTTTGATACTTCAAACTAGTTTCTGAAAGTGTGAGCATTCGTTGATAAAGTTTGTTCATCATAAATCATTATTTTGCTATCATTCATAAACCAATGTATAAAGCTTATTGCTTTTATGAAGAATGAAATTGTATAAAACATGTAACTAGAATCATCTAAATACTAAACAGCACAACAAACGACGTCCAACACCAACAACCTACCCTTCCGAAAAAATAACGTCTATACAAGCCGGGAAAAAAACAACAGCGAACAATAAATGATCGACATAGCCTGACTTTGAACAGGCGCAACATGTGTTTGGATAAAACCAAGTCCGACATGCTCATAAACCTTCTTTTTGCCTATCTAGAGCATATGTCCCATTGATATGGGAGACAAGGTCTAAAGGAATCTAGATAAAGTTGCTATATCTTTTTTTTTTTTTGGGGGGGGGGGGGGGGGGGGTTACGAAGTAATTTTGTTATAAGACATTTGTCTATATTGGGATACATATCTTTACCTCTATGTCTTTTTATAAATGCGTCGTTCAGTTGCTTAATCATTGAGTTGCCTCTAATTTTTAAATATACAGTTAAAAATAAGATTCGAAGCTAGAGTCTCCCAATGAAAAACTCAATCTTGACTCTAGTTTTCTTGATATTAGGTTCTGTGGTTTGAATTAATAATTAGTATTAAGTTGTTAATTCAAACAATTGCACGTCGTAAAACTTTCACTGCACGATTATGAAAAAGAAATAAAATGTTAATGTGTTACGTAGTAACCGATGATACCATAAGTAAACAAAAAATATTTTACAGTATGGATCAATGATAACGTCTCTTTAGAATAGTAAGAACAATCTGTCATAGAATTGTTCTACAGAGTTCTAGAACAGTTACACTCTAAAATAGTTCTACCCTAGAATTAGAATGAAGTCTAGTGTAGAACTTCAAAATTATTTTAATGTAGAACGATCAGGACCAGTTCAATGACAGACCTGTTAAACCCTTGGCTAGGTTAGAATTTTAGAATCTGTTTCAAGTTAGAACAGTCCAAATTTAGTTTATTCAGAGCAGCTATCTGATCGTGATTAAGAACAGGGGCAGGTAGCTGGATTTTCCCTGTATGTCATATTTGGATATAAAGGATGAAATAGTTAAAATGACTAATCTTTGATTTATGTTTAAGTTAGGTTATTTACCCATATTTATAATAAATGTTCAATTTAAATCTAAATACACCTGTGATGTAAATCTTGTGTTCAAACTCTCCATTATGTTTTCAGGAATGGGGAGTTATTTTTCATTGTTCATCTTTGATCATCAAGACGGTTTGCCTTTTGAATATTTCCATGGGCACTTCCTTAAACAGTGTTCACTCATTGAAATAATTCTGAAGGACGTAACACGATGTTGAGTAAAGATGAAAACTAACTTAAACGTCTGATACTGGATTTTAAAACAAAGAGATCGTAGTAATACAATGAACACCAAATATCTCATTATTATCAAAAAGCGTTTATTTATGAGTCGTCATTCCATCGTATAAATTACAGTATCTTTTTCACTAATATTCAACAACATTATCCAAATTTGATTTCCGATGCAAATCTTGGCAGAATTTCTGTCATGGATAGTATCCAAGCGGGTAAAACGCCGGAATATTTCCTTTGAGTGCCATTCCTCTTCTACAAAATATCAAATGTAGTTGTTTGGTTTAGGGGCCAGCTGAAGCACGCCTCCGAGTGGGGGTTTTCTTGCTATATTGAAGACCCATTGCTGGCCTTCGGCTCTTTTCTGCTCTTTGGTCGGGTTGTTGTCTCTTTGACACATTCCCCATTTCCATTCCCAATTTAACTCGGTTAAATTATTTTGTAATATTGAACACATTAACATTTTTCAATAATTATAGATTATAACATGTCCTTTTCTATATCGGTCCTGGCATCATGCCGAGACTCCCATATAAGCCCAAAGCGCTAGCCGAGGGCTCATATGGGTCGAGGGATGATACCAGGGCAGATATAGAAAAGGACATGTCATAATCTATTTTATCACATATTTGTTACGAAAACATTGGGTTTTGCATATGTAATAACCGCACAATTGTCCTACTCATATTGCTGCCCGGGGCAAAAATGTAGTTATTGGTTATTGTGCCCCGGTTTCAAATGACGTGACGTCATTTCGTCCTTAACGACAATGGCAAACAATGACGGTGTTTGTATTGAAAATTATGAGAATTATGCTACAATGGCAACTAGTAACAATGTCCAACCAACTATTATCGATTTAGGCTATTACCATATTCAAATATAAGGGGAATGTTACAATAAATTTGTATGCAGTAAATATCAAAAACTAATGAAAAATGTGATAAATCTTTTTAGATTTTACCTGTTGTGGTTATTTAAATAGTTATAATTGAACGTTTTTCTCTTTTCTGTAGAACTTAAATATGTGATAAATATATTATAACATGTCTTTTCCATATTGGCCCTGGTATCATTCCTCGACCCATATCAGCCCTCCGCTAAAGCTCAGGACCACAAAAAAACTTCGACTAATCCGAAATTTCGAGTCAACTGAGTTCAAGACAACGAGAGTTAACTGTACATCTTTACATATTGTTATTGCTCTTAATTGCTGTTTATTGTATTTTTCCAGTTTTTGTATTGACTTAAATTACTCAAATATATATATATATATATAGCCAAAAGGGAAGTATTTTTTTCGCATTTCGAAAAGAAATACTTATCGGTTGGTTCCGGTTATTATATGCGAGTATATACGGTTAAACAAATGTTTCTTAATATGCAGTTGAATGGTTTATTAAGGTTTACGCTGTATTGAGCAATATTTGCAAAATATCATTGTTTACGTGCCTAAATAAACTAATGACACGATACATCTAGTGTTTTTTGGTATCTCTTTTGTTCTATATTTTGCACCAAATTAAACAAAAAAAAAACCAAAAAAAAACCACATATATAACTTATTAACCATCTATGTGTTCCCCTTGGACACATACGATTCTTGAACAATGCTTTATCAATTGCCTGTTTCGCGACCTGACACCAGAAAGATTATGGTAAAGAATTTGGGCAGGTTTATTATCTATCTCCAGTTATTTTGCACTAACTGTAGTTGACGTCTCGTGTAATGTTGCGTACGTTTAGTATCACAATGTAAATTTGGGCACATGCTATCAACATATATTGAAGCAAAAAAGCTTATAGCATATCAATAAGTAACAATGATAGCAAATATCATATGATATCAATAATATCCACAATATTGTTTGTTAATAAGAGCTGCCTGAACATGTGCTAAAGATAGTTCTGCGGTAATCTGTCCAAAATAGTTCTAGGAAGTATAGGCCAAAAGTAATGAAAGACACGGTTCATTTATAAATTATATTGTTACATTTATTTTGTATATTAATAGTAATTTTTTCCTCACAGAAACCTGACTAACAACAACATATCTGTCATTGAGGAAAACGCCTTCATCAATCTAGGAATCCAAGCCATGTAAGTAAAAACAGACAATTTATGTCATTATATTCATTCAGTACAAGAATAAAATCTATGAAAGGAATGTACCATTTAAAATCATATTTTTCATTCAATTTATTAAAATCTAGTGTGACTTTGTCAAACCACTTATTTAACTCACAAATTAGACCAGTATAAATTTACAACAGTGAAATATCGTAATGATAGACAAACTCTTATTTTTCGTGGTAGACTTTTAAGGCAAGAAACTAGCCCCTTACTTAAAGAAACTCTTAATTTAACCAAAATTTTACATAACTCAACTATTTATTCATGGTATTCCTATGTTAATCAAGTAAGATTTATGTAAGAAATCAAAATAATAAAGTTATTGATAATCAAAATGAAAAATAAAATATCAAATTTACAAGAAAATAGTAAACTCCAAATTAAATAAATAAAAAAAAGTCATAGTTTTGAAACACACCTACAATGTACTTTACAAAAATATAGACATTTAATTTGTAAATTTCGAATAAGTGACCACAGTTTATTAAAAGCAACTGGTAGAAACCGGAAACTCCTTTTTTTTTTTATCTGAATTGGATCTATCTTCGATTAAAGATTCCATACTACTAGTAAAGCTAAAACCAACATTATCATATATGGATTTGACATGTTCAATCCATTTAAACTTATATGCCATCCGGATTCGTTAAATTTGAACATTGCAGAGTATTAAATGGAAAAACATTTGAATTTTTGAAATACTAAGGCTTTTTTACCTTAGGAATAGATTACCTTAGCTGTATCTGGCAAAAATTTTAGGAATTTTTGGTCCTCCATGCTCTTCAACTTCGTACATTATTTGGCCTTTTTAACTTTTTTCAATTCGAGCGTCACTGATGAGTCTTTTGTAGACGAAACGGGCGTCTGGCGCAAATACAAAATTTCAATACTGGTATCTATGACGAGTTTATTTATGATTATTGCAAATAATTCGGTTCCAAAAATTAACTGTTCTAAGTTGAATTGTGATATCGATCGGACATCGGCCGTCATGAAAATTAGAGCTGTTGTTCTAACACTTATAATATTTCTACAAAACTGTAAGTGTATCGTTTCTAAAATGATAATGTTTTCAAAACCCCACACCTCACAGCCGTAGTTAAGAACTAGCAGTACTAGGTTATCAGCAAGTCTTAGTTGTAATTCTATTGGTAAAGAGATATTTCACAATTTACTGTAAAGGCCAAAGCGCCTTAGTTGCATGGTTAGCTGCATTTTGTTTCGCCTTTACAAATGAACCATTATACTTAAAAGTGATCCTAATCTATGAATAGGAACCTCGGTTTTCCAAATCTTCACCCAAAAGTTGGAAAACCGGTTGTATTCTGGTTTTCCTCTTACAAAGGTAACAACCTTCGTTTATGATTTTTTTTTTAAATTTCTATTTCATGCATTACTTTTCGAATGCTTATAGAGCTTCTTGCATTGATTCGGGGTTTTCTGATAAAATAATAGTATCATCTGCATACAACAAAAGAAATAATTTTAGATAGATGGACAAATGTTGATGACATTTGGTCTCGAGGATTTGCTAGTGGGGAACATCGTTTTTTTTTAAAGAAGTAGTCAAGATCATTTAAGTACGGTGCAGAAAATGTGAAAGGTTTTCTCCTTGTCAAACACCTATATCGCAATTAAAGAATAACGAAAGCTCCTCGTCTCCGTTTGTAATACACGATTTGACAACGCTGTAGAGATTATTGATGACTTTAAATACTTTATCTGTGATTTCTGGTTTTTGTAATTTGACCCACAATGCTGAGCGCGACATAGTGTCAAAAGCCGTAGAAAAGTATAATTATTTTTATCCGAAACGATTAGTAAAAAGATATCAGGAAATAAAAACGAGTATATCATCTAATGTTCTATACTTCTGTCTAAAACCTGTTTGGGCTTCTATTATTAATTTAATTTCATCATATAATTCTCTTAATCTTCCATTGAAAACTGCTGTGAATTTTTTTCCAAGGCATGAAACTAGTATAATGGGTCTATAAGAATAAGGGTCGCATTTGTCCCCTTTATTCTTGTAAAAAGGTTTAGTCACTTTTAAAATGTCTTCTTATGTAATAAAAGAATTCAAAATTCGATCAATATTCTCTGGTGGGGCTTTCCTAAAATAAATATCTGGAAAGTCTCCTTCCTCATTAGACTGATTTAACTTTTTCAAAATATGCAGGAAATTGTTCAATACCTACTGGGCTTTTATTACTTGACTTTTGTTTCCCAATACTATTTGAATAATCCATAAGTTTTCAGGGTCAGATTTTAACTTTGCAATATTTTCGTGGAATGAATGATATGAGCAATTAATTGTGTTTTTTATATGATATACTCGCTTCTTTCATGGCTTTCTTATTGTTAAATTTTTGGAAATTTTATACTTTTGTTTTGCTTGTTAAAAATCTTTGATGAATCGTCAAAAATTTTACTTGTAACATTATCAATTTCTGCATGATCAACGTTCTCAGCTGTAGTTAAATCATCAAACGCTTTTTCTATTTCTTTTAACTGATCAGATTAATTTTCCTTAACATATTAGACAAATTTATCACCCTTTGAGCTGCACCACTTGACAGTTTGCCTTTGAGGCGACTCAATATTTTGTTCGTTTATTATCATCGTTTCTGTGTATATATTGAAACCTGTTTTACTGTGTACATCCAAGAGAATTGGATTACATACAAATTATTTTATTTTGATTAATGGAAATAAATCTGAAGACACAATGAGATAGTCTACCACACTAGCGGCATGTTCTTCTACCTACATAATTGTCATTACCTATTACAGAGTTAGCTATAAATAAATTCATTTTCTTACACATGTCAAGAAGTCTATGACCATAATGGTTTACTCGTTACGTGCATTCAGATTTTCGCTCTCGTGAAATGCCATTTGCAATAACGGTATCATAATTATAAAAATATTTCAGTGTGTCCTCATCATCATGATGAAACATGTCTAGTACAAACCGTTATGGAAAAATAAAATCTTGCAAGGTTGATGCCTTTGCATTAAAATCGACTATTAAAACACACGGTTAACTGTAGGTACTCTGTTTCAATTTCATTAACGGCATCTATCAATGAATATTAAGAACCATCGGGTTGAATGTATACACATCCAATTAAAGTTTTATCAGGTATTATGCCATTTGAAAGTTTCAACCACTGCACGAATTTACTGCCATGTTTGTGAAATATAATTATTATTGTTTCACATTACTGACTCCGAGCCGACCAGTCTTTGCTCCTACTCCTTAATGCCGCATGATTAGCATTGAAACAGCAAAATCCAATCTGAACATTTTTGTTCAACCCGGTCGGGATTCGAAAAAACGACCTCCGGCACTCGAGGCGAATCGGTAGTATAGAATATTATACCAAAAATCTCGAAGTACAATAAAACAATTATACAGTTTCGTAGAATTCTAACAGCTCCTAACGAGAGCAATAAGTATCTATCCTAAATGAGATACGTTAAGATAATAACAGTGGTCACAATACTATATTATGGATAGCCGGTTTCAGAGTATATTTCAAGTATCAACGCTCTCTTGCACATTAAAAACTTCTGCACGAATTCATTGAGGGGTCCGGATGTGGCCAGCTGTTGCAAGGCTGAACTTCTGTCCTTATCAAATATACCCTCATTTTCCAGTGCCATTCCAAGTTTCCCGTCCAACACAACAATGGACCTACCTATTGTATTTAAAATTTATGCGTTCTCGTCATAAACATGCATGGAATATATGCCATCGGACGTAAAGCAAACACATCACTCGATAATAATGCAAACCTACGTATGGTTTTTTTTTTGTACATTACTACATGACTTTTAAAAAAAAAAAATTAACTATGTTTCTTATCTAATTTAAGAATGATGATCAACCTTGCAAAAATATCTCTCATCAATTCACGTTTCAACCACTCAAACCTATAGTATTTGATTCTGAAAATGTTACATTTAGGCTGTTTCAATACGAAATTATTCATTACATTTTACAGGCATAGCTTTTCTTTTTAAAAAATAACTAAAGAAAACCGGATTTATTAATTAATTGAACCGAACAGACAACACTGTGACCTATAGTTGTTAATTTCTGTGTTATTTGGTCTCTTGTGGAGAGTTGTCTCATTGGCAATCATACCACATCTTCTTTTTTTAACACTTTTCATTTCGCATTTGCATGTCAGGTAATGTATGGAAATCATATAATCAAAACCTAAATAAACATTTATCTGACTATTCTGAAGGACCTTATGCTTCTAGGTCTGTTCGATTAGAAGTTGGGTAACAAGCTGTTTAGAAACTAATTGTTGTAAGAGATTTGCTTACTGTTTTCATATGGTCTGTTCTTTACAAATCAATATCATGATTACTGAAAGATTAAAAACATCAAACATATATCACATTAAGTTCTTGTGCAGAACATTCATTGGTTAGTTATAAATGAGGTTTTTATAGAATTTAAATTTACTCATTTATTAAATAAAGAATCATTATTTTTAAAAGTCGGAATTCAAAAATGTAAAAGTACCGCCTAATTTTATAAAACTATCCTATGGTCTTAATTTAATGCTAAAATATTTAATAATCAAATAATTAAATGATGCACTGCCACTTAATCAGAGCGTTTTCGATGCAATTAGGTAAATGCTATTCGCAAATACCAGTCTGGGTACTGTTTTACTATCATTTGAGTTGAATCAGATTTAGACTCGTCCATTTAAGGGGATTTAAGCTTCTGCAAGTGCTTTTTTGTGTACTTTTCTTACGATTTGAGGTTTTGTAAGTCAGTAAAAGTTCAATGAAAAGTTAATATTGACATTAAAAGACCTCCTTCCAAAAGGGCTGTTCAAATTTAAATGTCAATATAAACTAATCCATTGAACTTTTCCTATTACTTATTTAGATCATTTACATTTGCAGACAATCTATTACATATATTATCAACGTTATTT